TGCCACCACAGATGTGTGTAGGTCCACACCCTCTCCAGCATGTATTGGTAGAGGTTTTGCCCATTCTGAATAGTTTGACTCGAGTTGTATACCAGTATAGTAATGTGGGGATTTATGTGACAGGGAAAGTGTGGCATGGTTGGGGGGGGGGAGGAGTGTGACAATATTGGGGGGTTATATGACATGGTGAGTGTGGCATGGTTGGGGGGGAGGAGTGTGACAATATTGGGGGGTTATAAGACATGGTGAGTGTGGCATGGTTGGGGATAGGGAAGGAGTGTGACAGTATTGGGGGTTATATGACAGGGTGAGTGTGGCATAGTTGGGGGAGTGTTACAGTATGAGGGAGTTATATGACAGGGTGAGTGTGGCATGGTTGGCGGGGAGGAGTTTGACAGTATTGGGGGGCTTATATGACCTGGTGAGTGTGGCATGATTGGGGGGATGAGTGTGACAGCGTGATAGAGTATGAATGTGACAGGGTTGGGGTGTGAGAGTGACAGTGCAGAGAAGGTGAGTGAGACAGGAATAGGGGGATTAATGTGATAGGGTGAGTGTAGCAGAATGAGGGTAGGTAAGAGTGTGGCATGGTTGGAGGGAGTAAAAGTGACAGGATTGAGGGGGTTAATGTGATAGGGTGAATATGGTAGAGTGAGGGCAGGTGAGTGAGAGTTGGAAGGAGTGTGTGACTTAGAGGGGTCAATGTGACAGGTAAGTGTGGTATTTTTGGAGGGGTGAGAGTGACAGTATTAGGAGGGGTTAATGTGATAGAGTGGGTGTGGAATAGAAGAAGCAGTGAGTATGACAGGCTCACGGGGTCAATGTGACAGGTAAGTGTGGTATGGTAGGAGGGGGTGAGAGTGACAGGATTACAATGTGTTAATGGTAAGTTACAGCAGTGGATCTGGAAAATGTCATAATGGTTTTTTAGTGGAGTAGTAATTAAATCGAATTATTAAATCTCTTGGCTGCTGTGCCTCTGATCTCCTTGCTCTGAAGGTCCTGTATGGTCCAGCTATCCAGTATCTCCAATAATTTGGGTCGGAGGTTGTCCAGCATGGTGGTAGTAAGTGAGCCCTCCCCTGCCTGCGTGAGCCCCAGAATTAACTCTTCTAAGCACCTTTAGACAGCATATACATCGATACTAAAATTTAAAGTAATCTTTATTGTAGTCATATACACAGAACATCCTAGTAAAGCAACTTACTTAGAGACCTTTTGTCAAATGGAGATGCTCAGATTAGGAAGAAGACTTTAACAAAGTGTAAAAAAGATAATTATGTATCTCTCCATTTAGGATAAAACAGGAATCGGTAAGGGATAAAGTCATATCACATAAAAACAACTTGTGACTTCTGTATCAAACTGTGCAACCTTCAGCTTTCATTAGGTCCTCAGCCAGACAGGAAGGCTGCACGCTTTGTGACTGCATTGTGACTAAGCACTGGGATATTCAAAATGAAATGTGAGATTCAGGACCAGGGACAGCGCACCATCGCCTGTGTCTGATAGCTTGGCTTATGACGGACAGGAGTTATATGTGAATGGCTTTCTGCAGGGCTCTTAGTAATGGTACAGGGGATGATTAGATCTTTATACGCCGTCTTCTCCAATATCCCCTACCAGATCAGTTTCACAAAAATCCTCTGAATTAACCAAATCTCTCCTACATACATTTTCAAGGTGTTTTTTTTTTTTGCTTTCTTATAGCCAAAACTCCCTTAAAGCTTTCCTTTCCTTCTACTTAAGGGCTTCACGTCCCATTTTAGACCCCCGTGTGCCTACACGTTCATTATCCAAGATCCATCAAATTGTAAACTTGTACTCCTTCAACTTCAGACCTCTTCGCCTATCCAGCCGAGATTCCCAAGTTTATTCCCCTCAATGATAATCCCAGGGGTAGGCAACCTGCGGCGCTCCAGCTGTTGTAGACATATCCCATGATGCTTTGCCAGCATTACTGCGGTAAGAGCATTATGGCAGATTTAGTCCACAACCCCTGGAGTGACAAAGCTTGCCTACCTCCACCCCTATGCCATGTCAGCTGCTCTAGCGTAACTCCATTCACATCAAACTGCCCATGGAAGGGATAGCTCTGCCTGTAAAACCAGAACGGAATAAACTATTGCCAAATTAATTGTTCCTATACTTTCACAAAAAATACACGCAAATGATCTACTAAACATAGAATTGGTATTTTTTATTCATTCAATACATAAATAATAATAAAAGTCCACACGGACCGATTTCCTGACAGCTGCGGCTAACGTAAAACCACCTTTTAACCAGAGTTTTCTAGGACCAAGGTCAGGGGATTTTTTTTTTTTTTTGGAGGGGGTACCCCTGGTGTAAAGTGATGTCACACAGTAAGAAATAGCGCAGTGGATGCCCATTGCAGTACTGTAACACGGGGTGACTGTAGGAAATCCTACCCTCTACTTCCACACCACAAAACAAACAATGAGGGAGATTTATCATAGTGTTCTGTTCTAAACAAATAAAAATAAAAAATGGTCTAAAAATCAAAGCAATGTGCCTGTTTGTTCTACTGGCTTCCTTGGTGAATGCGCCATGTTTCATACTCCAGACCATTTTTAAAAACAGAACAATCTGACAAATCTCCCTCAAAGTGTGCAACCCAAGGTCTGTCACAGGACGACTGAATGAAAATTAGACTATGTAACACGTACAGAAGGTAAGCTCTTAAGGTTAGGCAGGAGACCAGGAGGGGCCTAAAAGGTAGATCCCCAGAATTGAGTCTCCCATGATGCTTTGTAAACCCATAAAGCTGGCAAAGCAGCATGGTAGAAACCGTTCAACAACCAACATAGAGATCTTTTAGGCTACCCTTGCAGTACAAGGTCATTAAAAGGGACCTTCTATCAAATAGTCAAATTCAGTTAATTTGCACTTTATTTAGCCGCAGTTCAGATGTCTTGTGAAATTGGACCAAATTTCCATTTACTAGTTTAGCAATTTACAAACAGCCGAATTGCAAACAAAATTGGCATCATTCAGTTGTTCCAATTCTATAAAACAGATCAGGGGGTAATTCCACCTGAACCTCTACCACCCCTAATACTAAACGTAGTTATTTACTAATTCAGAGTGAATTGCACAATTATAAATAGACCTGCCATCACCCAATGTACCACACCCCTTTAAACACTAAGCATTCGTGAACCAGTGAGCTGACCATCAATGGGGTGGGCATTATGGATAAGTGTGCCGCATTTTAAAAACAAAAAGCAGACAAGGTGTGTCACAGAGCTCCAGCTCCATACAACTCCTAATATATGCTGAGCATGACTCAGATCTACATCAATGTGAGGTTTGTAGGACTGTTTCCAAAATCCAAACAATAAAACAGTAATGTGCAGTATGTGTGAGTACATCACAGAGCTCCAGACCAGAACTCCATAATCAATAAAATTCACTGTAATATTCATTGTGTATGAATGGATCCCAGAGCTCCATAGCAATACAACTCACAGTGATGTGCGGTGTGTAGGAGATGATTGCCTTGCTCAACAGCAAAAAACGCTCAGTGGTACGTAGAAGATCCCAGAGCTCCTCAGAAAAAAAAAATACAAAAATAAAATTACACTGTGTACATAGATTGGCAATAAATGTCATGCAAAATGGAGACACCCTTTGCCATAACCAAAGTATCATCTGTAGCCATTGTACATTCTGAAACCATCTGGAAAGTTTATTGTAACAGCAGTTTCAGATTGGTTTCAGGAAAGACACTTATGTTAGTTATTCTTGCTGTAAAAGGGTTGAACATGCCAATTCCCTTTAAAACAATTGTATTTTTTGGAATGCAATTTTTGCTCTAAAAAGGAGTTTTTTTGCCAAGGCAACTTGTGGCAGCAACAATATATTAAAATATTATGGAGCCCATTCACTATACACAGAATTGTTGTAAATTTATGAGTGGCAATAAATCGCTGATTCACAGATCGGCAAATTCATTCCTAAAGATTCTGTGACATTTGCCAGTCACAGTGTCAGTTTTCTCATTATATGACATTTTAAATCCCAATATGTGTAACTTACATGTAGCAACCAGCAATCGACCACTGAGTAAATCCACAACTCCCAACACACAGAGACAAATTGAAAGGTGTAAATTATAGCAGCACATGATCATTTAAAACAGATACTGACTTATTCACTAAAGAGGATTCTACATTAAGGCCAAAGTTGGCCATTTTGGACAAACAATGTGAAATTCACTTTAGTGAATAAGCCAGTATCAGTTTTAAATATTTCATTATTGGTAAAATAATGACATCATGTGGTGCTGGAGACAACATAACCCACGAGACTGAATGTCGAGTCTCCAGAGATGGCATTATTTTCCTGTCATACACAGTTCATTATGAATATTTTATATCAGGATTTTTTGTTTTGTTTAACAGCAGTTGGAGTGCCAGGGATTGTCCTATTTTCTGGAGTTTCAGCTCATATGAAATGCAACCCACATAACAGACACACACATCCCCACTCAGGCTTGCTTCCCTCTTAGGGCTGCACTGGGACACATCTCCCAGGCTGCCTGAGATTGATGGGAGTCACAGCACTCAACCTTTCTCCTTAGGTAGACACGCCATACTCTTTCGAGCACATTGCCCTTCCTAGTGTGAATTCTATCCATCTCCCATTATTGGCAGCAGGTGTAAAATACAGGTGGAGCCCAGGAGTGTTAACTCCCATCATTCACAGGGAGGCTGGGACATGTATACTATGGTGCTGAGCCTATATTATATGAGGTTATTTACCTAAAAAGATACCACAGTATCTTATTACATTGTAATTCTGAAAATATGATCACAATACACACACACCCCTTTCACAAGGTTGCAATTATGCAGTTACGTCTGTGGACATATAAACTGTTGATAATTGACAAATGGCCTTTCAGTTTCGGCCTCCATCCTGTTACATAGGTTTATGTTGCAGTATATTGAGGATTACCTAATTCATATTATGTACATTCATATTCTATAGGGTACCGCACAATCACATACATGCAACCCAAAGCCCCCCATCTAAACAACACCCACCACACAGCACAGATCTCCATTCAAAATTAAAAAACAGGACAAAGAAAGAAATCACTGTACTCAAAAAGGAATCCCGAATCACATTTTATGTTTCTTTTTTTGTTAAATATACAATATAAAACAATACGCTTTTTTTGTACATTTGAACACCGTTGGCACATTGTACAGCTTCATTGTCAAACATAGTGCGCATTTTCTGTTAGGTTTTCTTTAAATCCCCATTTCTATTTAAATCGGTTACATTCATACATCCTATGAGGTTTTAGATATCTGAAACGTGTTATGCCCAGTTTAACCAGCACTAAGGACAGCAGCCAAATGTCACATGAAGGCTCCATCAAATGTGAATAAACACCGTGTACATTGTAGAAGGGTGAATTCAAGGTTATTAAATAAAACTGAATCTCAGCTAACTGGCATATAGGGTTTACAAGTGATCCAGAATTTTCAGTTCAACAAAATATGCAAAAATGTCCAACACAAATGATTTACAGCCACATGCATGTTTGAAAAAATACAGGAAGCCCCCCTGTGTACTGTGATTCATAGTAGCACAGATAAAGGCAATAGATAGACATCTCTCTACATGAGTCCTTTAGGAGCCAATGACATTATTGTACTAGAATGTATAGTAGGGAGTAGGTGCAAGGATTAAGTGTTGCTGAAAGTGAGATGCCTTAACCTAGGAGAGCATTTCAAAAGTGCCTTAGTTCCCAAAAGAAATTCAATAGTAACAAAATAATGAACCAGTATTATTTCTATTTGGTACTATCACCTGGAGCAGAGTGCAGTAAATAGACCATAAATCCCTAGACAGATCAGTAAATCAAAGCTTTCATTTATGTTCTTGGAGATGTGAGGTATCAAAAACGCTGAAGTCATGTGGCACGACTATCTTAGCAAATAAATAATAATAAATAAAATAAAAAGTGATGAGTGCTCACCCCATTAGTATTAATTCTTTAATCTTTTCACTACCAGAAGTAGAGATCAAGAGGTGTTCCAGACCTCTGGCAGTGAAGAAATCAACGGTTTAAAGCTCCCCAATGTTAGGTTGCCACGAGGCACCCCAAAACCACCCAAAACTCAGTGCGGAATAGCAGTAAACCAAAATGTCAAAGTGTCCGCTTTCTGATCAGCAGCCCCTTAACCTGGGACTTAGGCCTCAGTATTCAGGTTGATCATGGACAGTGGTTAATTGCATCCAGGTTTGTCCATCCCAAGCCCACCTCCCTAGCGGTCCAAGTTTATAGTCCAGTGGCCATTAGATTCCCTGGTTTCCCCTTCATTCTTCAGATCCTGAAAGACCTGAGTGAAGAAATGAGGATCAGAGTTGATCTGAAGCATTTTGGCACTCATGCGGTCAATGATGCTCAGGCAACGTTGCCAGAAGACCTCCTTATCGGTCTCCACCAGGAAGGGCTTCAGAGGGTAGGAAATCTCATTGCCCATATATGAATAAGCCAAATACAGGCAGGTAAGAAAGGAGGCTTGGAGCTCATATTCACTAGCCAGTTCATCTCCTATAGCCTCTCTGCAAAGCAGATAGACAAAAACTAGATTGGCAGGCGTTATGAAACCTTGGTCTTGCCATCCTTGCAGAAGCAAAGAGCGGTCAACATTACGGAACCACATGGTAGGTTCTCCAGGACTTAACTCTTTCAGCCGGTAGCACCTGCGGCAAACAAACTCTCCAAGGCATCGAAGTAATTCGCCTGTAGAAGCTTGTACTATCACCCGACGTGGCGAACATAGTGATCGGCCACTTGCCTGCTTCTGGACAGCCACCAGCTGCTGCTGGATCTTCTGACCCTCTGATGGCCCATTTGGAACTGTGGGCACCGGTACAGGTTTGGGCTCCCTCCTCCCAGGGCTGGCCTGAGACTTGCGCAGATTCTCATGATTTAACTGCTCCACTGGGTTGTTGTTAGGGAGTAGAGGTCCATTGATGGGCCCTGGGTTTGGGTTGATTTTCTTGGCATTTTTTTTCTTGGCAGATGCCGCCACCAGCCTCTTCCAGGTGAGGGCAGAGATCAGCACAGAGTGTCGCTTCAGGCTTTTCTCTGGTTTGCTGCCCCCATTTTTACTGTTCGGGATAGCAGAGTATCCACCTCCAACTCCAGGAGCCTCTGGCTTTTTGTCATCCAAAGGGCCTGCTTTGCCAGGAGCCGGAGACAGTGACAGGACAGTGCCCATGATACAAGCTTTCGTCTCAGATATTGAAAAAAATCTGGTGAGAATTGTATTATGGAGAAACACAATCTTGTATCTAAACGGTGATGAGGTGAGGTTGTACGGTTAGGTACAGAGGGTGTAGGATAGCAGGTTCTATTAATTAATTGACAACCAGTTATCACTGGAGCCTTTCCGCTGCAGGATGGAGGGGATTGTGTGCTATATGTAGGTACTAGGTGGATCTCTTCTATAAATCAGTCCAGATGGGATCCAGGATGCTAGAAGCTGGTGCAGTATGGGTCCCTTTCAATAAACAGGTGCTGGGCAGATTCAGGGACCAGTAGCAGGTGCAATGTAGATCCAGGAAGGTTATTAACAGGTGCTGGGTGGGTCCAGGGGGCTAGTAGCAGGTGGTGGGTGGGTCCAGGGGGGATCTTTTGCTATACAGAATGGATCCCTGAGTAATCTGAGATCCTGTGCAATAGCCATGCACAGAGCCCAGTGTGTGATGGATCAGGTCTCTGTATATGAATGAATAAGAAGCAGATGCATTAGCAGTAGAGAGGCTCACTGTATCCAGATATTGGTTGATAGTGCTTGCTGCAGCAGTAGATGCTCACTGTGTCTGTGGATTGGCTGATGGCGCTGACAGGAGCAGTAGAGAGGCTCACTGTGCCTGTGGATTGGCTGATGGCGCTGACAGGAGCAGTAGAGAGGCTCACTGTGTCTGTGGATTGGCTGATGGCGCTGACAGGAGCAGTAGAGAGGCTCACTGTGTCTGTGGATTGGCTGATGGCGCTGACAGGAGCAGTAGAGAGGCTCACTGTGCCTGTGGATTGGCTGATGGCGCTGACAGGAGCAGTAGAGAGGCTCACTGTGCCTGTGGATTGGCTGATGGCGCTGACAGGAGCAGTAGAGAGGCTCACTGTGTCCAGGGATTGGCTGATGGCGCTGACAGGAGCAGTAGAGAGGCTCACTGAGCCCAGGGCTGGGCTGGCTATTCCGGGGGAGCCTGTGACCGGTGCCGGGCTGCTGATGCTGCTCCTCCCGCTCCCCCAACGCTCTCTGCAGCCCGCGCTGCCCGCACCCCAGACTCTGCACTGAGGGGTGGGAGCAGCATCAGCGAGGACCCAATCACAGCCCAGCGCTGAGCGGAGTGACAGGCAGTCTGACCAATCAGAGGCGGCGAGTGTGGGGCACTCTGTGGTTGCAGCTTTGCTTGTGGGCGTGGCACTGCATCATAGTCACTGAGTGCCAGGCTCTGGGTGGGCATGGCACTGCATCATAGTCACTGAGTGTCAGGCTCTGGGTGGGCGTGGCACTGCATCATAGTCACTGAGTGCCAGGCTCTGGGTGGGCATGGCACTGCATCATAGTCACTGAGTGTCAGGCTCTGGGTTGGGCATGGTGCTGCATCAAGTGCTCTGAGTGCCAGGCTCTGGGTGGGCATGGTGCTGCATCAAGGGCTCTGAGTGCCAGGTTCTGGGTGGGCATGGTGCTGCATCATAGTCACTGAGTGCCAGGCTCTGGGTGGGCATGGCACTGCATCATAGTCTGAGTGCCAGGCTCTGGGTGGGCATGGTGCTGCATCATAGTCACTGAGTGCCAGGCTCTGGGTGGGCATGGTGTTGCATCATAGTCTGAGTGCCAGGCTCTGGGTGGGCATGGTGCTGCATCATAGTCACTGAGTGCCAGGCTCTGGGTGGGCATGGCACTGCATCATAGTCACTGAGTGTCAGGCTCTGGGTGGGCATGGCACTGCATCATAGTCACTGAGTGCCAGGCTCTGGGTGGGCATGGCACTGCATCATAGTCAATGAGTGCCAGGCTCTGGGTGGGCATGGCGCTGCATCATAGTCACTGAGTGCCAGGCTCTGGGTGGGCATGGTGCTGCATCATAGTCACTGAGTGCCAGACTCTGGGTGGGCATGGTGCTGCATCAAGTGCTCTGAGTGCCAGGCTCTGGGTGGGCATGGTGCTGCATCAAGGGCTCTGAGTGCCAGGTTCTGGGTGGGCATGGTGCTGCATCATAGTCACTGAGTGCCAGGCTCTGGGTGGGCATGGCACTGCATCATAGTCTGAGTGCCAGGCTCTGGGTGGGCATGGTGCTGCATCATAGTCACTGAGTGCCAGGCTCTGGGTGGGCATGGTGTTGCATCATAGTCTGAGTGCCAGGCTCTGGGTGGGCATGGGGCTGCATCATAGTCACTGAGTGCCAGCCTCTGGGTGGGCATGGCGCTGCATCATAGTCACTGAGTGCCAGGCTCTGGGTGGGCATGGCGCTGCATCATAGTCTGTGTGCCAGGCTCTGGGTGGGCATGGCGCTGTATCATAGTCACTAAGTGCCAGGCTCTGGGTGGGCATGGCACTGCATCATAGTCACTGAGTGCCAGGCTCTGGGTGGGCATGGCACTGCATCATAGTCACTGAGTGCCAGGCTCTGGGTGGGCATGGCACTGCATCATAGTCACTGAGTGCCAGGCTCTAGGTGGGCATGGCACTGCATCATAGTCACTGAGTGCCAGGCTCTGGGTGGGCATGGCGCTGCATCATAGTCTGAGTGCCAGGCTCTGGGTGGGCATGGCGCTGCATCATGGGCACTGAGTGCCAGGCTCTGGGTGGGTGTGACACTGCCTCATAGTCACTGAGTGCCAGGCTCTGGGTGGGCGTGGCACTGCATCATAGTCACTGAGTGCCAGGCTCTGGGTGGGCATGTACTGCATCATAGTCACTGAGTGCCAGGCTCTGGGTGGGCGTGGCACTTCATCATAGTCACTGAGTGCCAGGCTCTGGGTGGGCATGGTGCTGCATCAAGGGCTCTGAGTGCCAGGTTCTGGGTGGGCATGGCGCTGCATCATAGTCACTGAGTGCCAGGCTCTGGGTGGGCATGGCACTGCATCATAGTCACTGAGTGTCAGGCTCTGGGTGGGCATGGCACCGCATCATAGTCACTGAGTGCCAGGCTCTGGGTGTACATGGTGCTGCATCATGGGCTCTGAGTGCCAGGCTCTGGGTGGGCATGGCACTGCATCATAGTCACTGAGTGCCAGGCTCTGGGTGGGCATGTACTGCATCATAGTCACTGAGTGCCAGGCTCTGGGTGGGCATGGTGCTGCATCATGGGCTCTGAGTGCCAGGCTCTGGGTGGGCATGGCACTGCATCAATGGAACTGACTTCCAGGCTCTGGGTGGGCATGGCCCCTCTGCAAAGGCAATAGGCATGGGGAGGTGGGGATGGCACATAAGCAGGGGAGAGGGTTAATCCTACATTTATTACCACCCCAAGGGTACACAGGGCTCTACCTACCACCTGACATGGTATATAGATTAACCCTCTGAGTGCCAAGAGAGCCTGGCAGCTCCTCACAGCCTAAAAATTAGGCTAAATGATAAGGATTGGGCATTGTCACGGCTACCATCATCTCAGGTTTTATCTTAGAGACTGCATAGTAAATACAGGTTGTGCATGAAAAGGGCTGCCCTATACTATGTGGCATTCAGCTGCTCAGGGGGGATTGATTAATTAATCAAATAGGGAGCAGTTTTAATTAGTTAACAGATTCCCTTTCTCTTCATTCTATAGGCTACTTGTAGCAGGGTAGCACTTTTCATGTAGCACAACAACACACCAATATAATATATGTCAATAAAAACATGGAGGATCTGGCGCCCTAGGAAGGGGCAGACCCCACGTTAGTTTAAAAGTGAGGAATATGAAGTCACTTTTATAGCACGTCAAACACTAAATTGGTTATTTACTAGAAGGATAATTGTCCTTGAAGTATTGCCAACCTGAATAATTTGTCCAATTCAGCTATTTAGCCTTAAATTTGAAATTCACTTTTGTAAATAATGATGCAGGCCTCCTTAACAACCAGGTTACGAGAAGATTTAACCCTTTGGGAGCCAGGAAAGAGGGATGGCACACTCATGCTGCACAAATATAGTTAAATATTAGCTATTTACAATTCTTCATTAGTGTTATCTTTTACTACCTGTGTTGAGAGTCTGTTTACCCTTATGCAGGGTAGGGGCGACAATGATTTTTAGAGAGCTTTGCATAATACATTCTCTATTATTGTTCCCCACAAATTAAATGTGTGACAGTGTTTGGAAATCCTTACATCACTAGTGAGTCGCCAGTGAGCAGTATGGTTCGCAGGATCCAATATCACTTTAAGCTTAAGGCTGGATTAACTTCTCATCTGTAATTCTGAATTCTTAGGTTCCCCTACATCCTGCCAAAAAGATCCACATACAATTAGCTTGTTCCATGATTTGGAGGTTGCCCAAGATAGTCTGTAAATAAATAAATAAACTGCTCACCACCTCTAGTAATAATATACATATATAATTGAATATTAAAATATATAAAAACAAAAAGTACATTTATTGTCCTGTTATGTGTTATTGCATGTTGAGAAGTCAAGCCCTGTTTATGTTATGAAATTGGGCAGAACCTACTGGGATTTTTACAAAAGTTAAATAAATTCCAAATTTATTTTAAAAATTGAAATCAAAATTAACTTTTTTCTAATTTTACTATGTTGGCCTTAATGTTCAAATTTACTTTTTAACATTTTACGTAATCTAAGCAGTTTCTACAGTTTGCACCTTGATTAAAGGGAGACAGTAGGTATTATTACTGCTTCGTTTCATTGAAGTGGTTATAGTGTCTGGAGTCCTTTGGTGACGTCCTTCCATGCAGTGTTAGACCACGTTTAATGATAACCAATCCTCTCTGTGTTGCTCGGGGTAACAAGGAAGACAGCGATTGGCTGGAAGTATCAGTTCACCACTTTCAGCCAATCACAAAGCCCATTTCAGATAACAGTGGGGTCTCAGAGACCCTTATGTAATGTTAAACTGATTCAAAATATCTAACATTGAATGGAATGACAGTGCTAGGTGACTCCAGCCACTATAACCACTTTAATGAGTCAATTCTGCATTATCAACGTATCGAAGGAGATGGGCATTCTCCCGGTGCTGGGAGAAGCCCCAGACTTTGTCAGCCTGCTCCCATGTTGTACCCATGGGCTCATAGCACACCAAAAATAACATAAGCAGGGTTATTTACTAAACATCAGGAAATGGGTGCAGCAATTACACTTTTAAGGGGCCCAGCGGGGACTGGGCGCTATATTTGAAATTTGTGTGTGTGTAAAACAACAATGATAATAAAAAATAAAACTGCTTCCTTCTTACCCAGCACAGAACACAGCCCCTATCCCATCCCACAAAAGCACACATAGACACACACGTGCAGACACACTGCATCTCTTACACACATGCACACACTGCATCTCTTACACACATGCACACACTGCATCTCTTACAGACATGCACACACTGCATCCACTATACATACACACTGCATCTCTTACACACACACTTTCTCCCTTACACACATACATTACATCCTATGCCCACTGGATTACTATACACATACACTACTTTTTTCTAAACTACCCTACAAAGACACGTTGCATCCCGTACACACACACTACAACCCCTACACACATACGTTTCCATACCTCCCAACATTTCAAATTAACAAAGAGGGACATTTTCACTTAGGGGCAGTTCTGAGACATTTTAGGCGACTTACTAATGACAATTTCTACAATTAAAATGTAATTTAGAACAAGAACAAAGTATCTTTGTGAAGGAATACCCCTATCACTTCCGGCTTCCTTTTGTTGTCTGGATTCGTGCCCTAGTTATTTTTTTATTTAGTTTGGTTCCCAAACTGAGACCACCTCAGAGACCCATTAGAACATGGAACGTTAAGTATCATGTGCGAAAACCAGAACGGAACGAACTAATTGAATGCTCCCCTGGGTGGCCACAATTTTGTTCATGCGAATGCCCGCGTTCAGGACAATGGATGGCGGCCATTTTGTCTCCCGAATGCAGACAGCGGGACTTGGTCATCGAGTGTCTGGAACTTATTTCAGCCAAGCATTCCTGTGAACCCCGGTCATCATAGACCTGCTGCCCGTTCCTGTTCCCCTTCACCTACACGAACGGCTTTCGGGAGATCTATGCTACTGAACACGGGGAGCATTCCCTATTGATCTGCTTTTGTCTA